ACCTGAAAGAGAGATTGATTGCTGTTTTCGATGAATTCAAGATGAAGAACAAAACCCACATACTTCTAGCCTACAACTGCGAGTATGTGTTCTCGGCTTTTAATTTTATGCTTCTTTTTTCGTTAAGATTATTCAATAATTAGGATTATGTGATTGCAGCAACTATTTCGTCTTTATTTATGTCAATCTTGCTAAAAATCTGATCGAGGTATGGGACTCGAAGAAAAACCATTTCATCATCTAGATGCACTGGTGGTAGTACTGAATTAGTAAGTGATCCTAATAACATATTATTTTCTAGTCATATATACCGCTTTCTAATGTTTCTCCTTTTAATGTTGCACAGTGTTCGAAGAAGACATATCGGTGGGACGCAGGTCCCATTAAAGGTTGTCAAAATAGAGGGAAAGTACCTACAACAGCCGGCGGGAAACAATGAATGTGGGTTTATGTAATGTGGGCAATGCTTCGCCACATCGGCGGAAAATCGGAAGAAACATATAAGTTGGTGTGTATAATCCCCATTTCATTTATGTCTGTTAATAATTCAACAAAATGATTTACTGATTCCTCTTTGAATATCATCTTTTTTGAACGACAGCGCAAGAAATATAACCACGAAAGGCTGTTAGACATAGAGATCGTCGTACTGCAATCGGAGCTGGCAAAATTCATCTTAGCCGAGGTATTGGAAAAAGATGGAGTATTTTCCATTGCACAATCCGTGAAGTTCAAGGACCAGTATGGCTCAGAACGGCTCGCTAGATTATTGTAAGAAATTCGAAAAACATGCTTCATCTTATCGAATAATTTCTTTTTTATTTTGAGAGATCGAGATTTTGATAAGAACATTTGAACTGTAACCGTAATATTTGTAATGTTTAATATTGATGGACCTGTCGTCTACGTAGCGTATATAAAGTGAAACCTGATTTCATGAAAAAATATAAATTAAAATAAAATATAAAACAATAAAATGCAAACGGGTTATCATTGCCGGTTAGCAACAAACCGGCAGTGTTGTCGTAACCATCACTGCCGGTTAGCAATAAACCGACAGTGTTGTCGTAGCCATCACTGCCGGTTAGCAACAAACCGACAATAATGGCCAAGATGGCACTGCTGGCTTAAGCCACAAACCGACAGCGTTAGCTTAGTCATCACTGCCGGTTCTTGTCACAAACAGGTAGTGTTGGTTGCAACAACACTGCCGGTTAAAACACAAACCGACAGTGTTGGTGGAACTGAACTCTGCCGGGTAGTCTCATGAACCGGCAGTGTTGGTGGAACTGAACTCTACCGGTTATGTAAAGAACCATCAGTGAAGTTGAAGAATACTGCCGGTTTATAGGAACCGACAGTGATAGCTGACTCTCATCACTATCGGTATGATTCCGGTTCAAAATCCGACAGTGATGGAATGTTTTGAACCGGTAGTGAAGTGCTATTCTGACATAGTGCAGCTACTGTCGAGCTTAGTGCCACTGCAACTGCAGCGTCGCCGCCGCCGCCCAAGCTTGGTGCCGGAAAAGGGTGGCGCTATAGGACTGACGCACGAGAGGGTGGAATGCGAAGACCATATTGGCTCGGGTATTTCACATCCACAGAACTACTTTCTATGCTTCTGGATAAAAAAATAATAAAATAAAGAAAAAAAATCTATTTTTAAAATTTTTAAATAATAAATAAATCATGTATATATATCTTGAAACAACAATGATTGAGTACAAAATTTTGAACTCCTGATAAACTATTATTTACAGGAAAAGCTTAGCTGAATAGTTACTCTCTGCTATCAGTATGTACAACAAGCAAAGCAACCAAACTCATTGCTTCGCCAGAAAGTTTTTGAACTTTCAATATTCTGAACATATGAAGAAAAAATTAACATGTATTGTTTTCCGAGTTTGTATTATTTGAAATAAATGATCAAAAGTGGTAGGAGGTTGTGGTCTTCAGAATGTAGCGCCGTCCTGTACAAGGAATCATTAATTTGATGGTAATCCAAAAGTATATGAAAAAATACAGGACTAATCTATGTGGCTACGGAGTACTATATAAGGAGTTGATCGTTAATTAACCGAATGCTCAATGCAAATATAATAAGTTTTATTAATTAATTACAAAGTAAACACAATATCTTTATTGGTCTAAGCTTTTCTATGTACAAGTTCAGGTATTTTCTCCCCCTGACGCCCCTATTTGGTGTTAGAGGAGGTGATTGATTGCTTAGGTGATGGGGAGCCGGCCCTATTTGGTGTTACCTTCCTTTGATTAAGGTATCTCAAAGGTTCCCCTGACGCCCCTATTTGGTGTAAAAGGGGGTGATTGGTTGCTTTGGTGATGGGGAGTCGGCCCCTATTTGGTGTTAGAGGGGATGATTGGTTACCTTCCTTTGATTAAGGTATCTGTGTTAGAGGGGGTGATTGGTCGCTTTGGTGATGGGGAGCCAGTCCAGAATGGTGAGATGCATGCTCAAAACGTGCACCTAGTCGTGTTTGGTTGTCTTTGTTGTTGGTCTAGTACGAGATGAGATCTTGTTTGGTTGCATGCATGGATGAGAGTTTTGAGTGTATGACACATGGGCCAGGGAAAGGATGCGAGGCAAGCATCCAAACATGCGGGGTGGGGCTCAGGATGGCCTCCTGCGTGCAACCAGTCACCCCCAGAGTGCGCAACAAATGCCGGCCCAGCTCGTTATACCCCGAGCCGGTGCCCCTCGGACCCAGGTCCACCGGAGCCCACAACATACCTAGACCTTATGCCTACGCAACCCAGGATGGCCCCACAACATACCCAGGCATTAGGTCTACTCAACCCAAAAGACTAGCCTGATAGGTGAGGGCTGCCCCATTAATTATCGATATGGGACTAAACCTAACAATCTCCCCGCGGATGCCGGTCCAACTCGCTATACCCACAAGCCGGTGCCCCTCGGGTCCAGGTCCACCGGAGCCCACAACATAAAGGCACTTGGGCCTAACTCAACCCAAAAGACTAGCCTTATAGGTGAGGACTACCCTCGTCTTATATCACCCTGTTCGCTTGATCGTTTCTGTGGCTTATAAGCCGGGTGATGCTGTTTTGTTGTGAGAGAAAAACATTGTATCATGGCTGATAAGCATGGCTGATACAATCAAGCGAACAGGGTGATGTTGTACTCCCCACCATCAATTATCGATGTGGTACTAAACCTAACATTTGGTAAAACATTGACGACAAACGTAAATCCTGGTTTATCAATGAACATATCTTTAGTACTTTTTTTTAAAAAAAGAAAAAGGCATGAGCTCTGCCTTGTATTTTTAAAGAGGGAAAGAATGACACAAAAGGTGTGTATCAGGTTTATCATATTGTTTGAGCAGCTTTCTGCATATTTTCCAACATCATATTTACCAATAATGGGACAAGGATAGAGCATGAATATACGCTGACCGACAATGTGATTGACAAGTGGTGATGCTACAATAGTGGCTCTAGCGAGGTGCTTGAGAAAATGCTTCTTGGGTTTGTTGGAGCATCTCCAAGAGATTAGTGAAAACACTAGGTAAATTTACTGATTTAACTACTCTCTAAAATAGATTTGACAAAAAATACTATAGTACTTTAACAGACTCTGTAAAACCAAGATGCTAGATAGCTAATGAGGTAGGCTATCTAAAAATAGAGAGCGAATGAGGTGGGATGGAGAGCAATTGAATTTGGAGAGTCATTTACAGAGTTTGTTGGAGATGTTTTTCCTTCAATAATAACCAAATTTACCTTTACAAAACGATTTAGCTAATCTCTTGGAGATGCTCTTAAGCAACATTTTGCTATGTTGCTTTGGCTTCAAACTCTATAGCTAAGTGATCTGAAGACAATTCCTCCATTTAAATGTGGTTTTAATTTTTTTCTGCTCATAACATGCATGTATCTGGTTGCATAAAATAAACTACAGGTTTTAACTGCCTCTTTATATTTTATTTGATTAATATCCCAAGTAAAGTACATTATAGCATCAGCATCCCACATCACAAAAGGCCTTTGCTGCCCTGATGAAATTCGAGGCACACTGGGCCTGGCTGGTGCACATAGGCCTACACGAGCGGGCCAGGCCCACATCCATCTCTCCACTCTCTTCTTCCCCGTCCGTCTCTACCGAGCAGAGAAAGGAGGAGAAGCCATCTGACAAATCTCAGGAGCGGAGAACCCAACCCCAATCCGTCTTCCTCTTCCCCATCCGTCCTAGTCTTCGCACGCAGCTTCGCCAGGATCGATTCGCGAGTCCTCTCCCGTCCGGATCGAGGTTCATGGTGAGCAACCTCCCCCTCCCGCCCTAGTTTCTCCAACCTAGGATTACTGTTTTACTTCTATACCAATCCAAATCTTCCCTCACCTGCTCAAACACCATTTCTACTTCGCCTCCACTTACCTCGCAGCCGCAGCCGCAGCCGCTGCCTGGCATATGGTAGAATACTAAAAGTAGGAAACCCCGTCGCTGCGCGCCTACTCATCGATTTCCCTAATAAAGACTTTTTTCAAAGTGACAAAAGTAGGAAACACCGTGTTTTTGTCCTACCTTCCCCTCGGTAGACTTTCCAATTGTATGAAAAAAGTATGATCACCATATGGCAAAAGTAAAAAATCTCTTTTGTGATAGAATGAGCACAAGCAAGATGGATGGAGTTGTCAGCTAACAAACTACTTCGCCTCCACTTACCTCGCAGCCGCAGCCGCTGCCTGCACCTGCTAGTTCCATTAGTTCGCGCGTGTATCAATCTGGTTTGATTGTGTGTACCGTCTGATTAACCATCACTTCCATTCCTTTCGTTGGCAGGTTTACATATGCGCGCGTGTTTACTGATGCATATCACGGGCACCTGATCCGGATGTCCTGTGCTGTCCAGCAGACAGATCTCCTGCTTCCTTCGAGTCCAGTTCATGTATGAACTCTTCCTTTCCCTGGCACGCTGCTAGATGTAAAAGGCTGTCTTGGATTTAAAAAGAACCAGATATCCATGTCTGATCAGCAAAGGCACTACGGCAGCTACGAGCTCCTCCCCGCTCAGCCAGATGTGCAGTGCCTGGTCTGCACACAGCCTTTCACTCTGGATGCCGAGGTCACCGACAGCTTCGAAGCTTTAGCCATATGCAGGGAGTGCAAGATGACTGTGCTCAGTGACAGCAACAGGGACGAGACTCCCAGAACTAACCGACAGAGAAGATGGCAAAGGCAAAGGTCCAGCAGGGTGACAGGGCACGAGCCGCCCACGGAGGAGGACGCGTTCCCGCAGCAGTTCTCCCAGCTGATTAACTTGGCCAGACAGGGTCATGAGGCGGATGCTGATTCTCCGATGGTTCCGCCACGCCAGCACGCGTCTTATAGTTCTACGCCGAGCCGGTCCCAGAGATGGCACACTTCGGATGATGAGAGTGATGGTCTGAGCTATGCTGATTCTGTGTTTGGTGAGATCGAGTTTGAGTCGAACATCAGTTTTGGTGATGAGGGTGGGGAGTCGGATGCTTCTGTTGGTCGCCACGCCACGATTGGGAGGGAAATTGTCATTCAGCTTGAGAATGAGAGCTACATGAACACGGATACAGATATTGATCCTATGAATGCTGGAATATACCAGTGGGACTCGGATGATCCTGAAGATGATGATGAGGATGAGCAGTCGGAAGAGTCTGATTTGGATGAAGCAGGTGACACCATGCAGGAGCGCCGGCAGCAATGGCATGATATCGCCCCAAGTGGATTGAATGAGCAGGAATCTGAAGGTGCTGCGTGGACTTGGAGAACAGCTGGAAGCCAAGGAGTAAGCAGGACTGATCTGAGAGCCGACATGGAAGGGCGAGAAATCAGGAGAGTTTTTATTGGGAATCCCGGAGATTATGTTGATGCAAGACAGTTTGAAATGCTTCTCGAGCAGTTTGCCGAGGATAACAATTCCAGAAGAGGAGCTCCACCTGCAGCGGCATCTTTCATTGAAAATCTTTCATCTGTGGTCATCTCCAAAAGCTATGAGATAAACGGTGGTGTAACCTGTCCAGTCTGCAAAGATGACATGCCTGTCACAACTGTTGCCAAACAGCTACCATGCATGCATCTATACCATTCATCTTGCATCTTGCCATGGCTTAGTTCTAGGAATACATGCCCAGTTTGTCGTTACGAGCTTCCTACAGATGACCCGGAATATGAGAGGTCCAAGCATGCCACAGTCAATGAGGGAGGTATCCATGGGGTGGAGCGTACCCATCTGCAGGAAGTTGTTGAAGAAACTTATGAGCCTGAGGTTGATGGAGGTTCTAATACAGGTGGCGATACAATGGAAGAGACTAATACACGTGAACATGCTGTTCCTACTGCACGGCAGCCAAATGGAGCACATGGGCGTCATAGATGGCTGTTTATTGCAGCAGCTCCAGTTGTAAGTCTTGTCAGTTTAGCTCTAGTTTTGTGCTTCACCAACCCAGCTGGCAATGTTAGAAGGCAATTGTGCCGTAGATCCCAGACTACCACTACGACACATGTAGACACAAGAAGAAGTTGGTGGTCTATGTTCTAAATATTCAGTGCATACCTGCTGATACCAAATGTCTGTGTGATGGCGTGTGCTTGTTGCCAGTGTTGTGTCACTTGTGTATGAAAAGGTTCAAGATTAATTTGAAGTTCAAACTTTGTGTCTGCTGACGTGATCCACCAAGGAGTTCTTGTACCCAAGTTCAGTCAGTTCAGCAAAACAAATACTGATGATTGCTGCTGTTGATTAATATTAATAGTTTGTATGTTTGGTTGCTTAGATTGTAACTTCAAGCATGTAACTAACACTCTGCCTGAAAGTTTACCCATGCATTCATCAGTAAGTACCTAAAATATCTGTTGTCTTGTAGTCTCATTGTGCATGATGCTTGTTGTAATTTGACTGGTAATTTGCAAGTCCTATGAAACTTCTGCTTTAAATTAAATATGCTTAACTCTCCACTCCAAAGTTTAATCCATGCCTTAAGCAATCTATTGCGGACCTTGTTTTTTTTCTTCTGATATTTGCCTTATGTTAAAAAAATATCTGTTCCAACGATGAGGTAATTCCTCATTTATTATTTGAAGCTCACTTGTGTTTTATTTGTGACTTTTTTCCTCATTTTCTTTCTTTCTTTCTGATATAAAACTCTTGCCTAGATTAATCTAGTCTCCTGTGTCATTCTAGTTACATAGTGCAGAGTTATATGTAGTAATAATATATGGTGGCTGTATGTTCTCACGAAGTAACACAGGAAGGGAAAATTTTGCAAGCAGAAAGCCTTAAATCAAGTTGCTAAAAGTCTAGTGATGAATACTTGCCATGTTTTCAAGGTGGCATGTTTCTGAAACTACGTGCTGGAAGTGATCTAAACAATGAGAGAACGTCAGTAGGTCAGGAAAAGGACAATCATTCACCATTATTAAAACAAGTATATGGGTAAATGGGAGTCAGTAGGTCAGGAAAAGGACAAACCACCACTCATTTCTTCAACAAGGATAGGAACAGATGGGAGCTTTTTTAAAACTGGAATATATAGGAGTTCGTTACTAAGTATTTTAAGCTAGAAGACTATACAAGTACTGATTGCCTTGTATGTTTGACATAAGACTCATTTGTTCCTCTCATACTTCCCCCTCTAATGGAGAAACTACTTGAGATAGTTCTAGTTGTTTCGACCATACTTCTTGGCTTAGCTCTAGTTTACTTATATGAAGTCCTATGGCTGAGGCTGGAGAAGATAAGGAAAAAGTTGAGGAGGCAAGGCATAAACGGTCCTAAACCTACTTTTCTCTATGGCAACACCCAGGAGATGAAGAGAATCCGACAAGAACTCAAGTGTGTGCAGAGGCAAGACAAAGACATGAACGGCTACATATCCACCATCTTCCCTCATTTCCTTCTCTGGAGGAAGACATATGGTATGTATAGAATCCCTTGCTTTTGCTTATCTGTTTATATAAGGGTCGCTGCAATGAGACTGATAGCATGATCGTGATTGTTTACTTCATTCTGGAATCACAACAGCTTTCCATAATCGGAAGCTAGAAACATAGTGTTCATAAAAGGCTAGACAGTAAGGTTAATTAACTATGCTTGAAGAAAACTCTGCATCGGTCTCCCAAATATGAGGATGGCCAGAACCTTACATCATATACTTAGCATTTAAGTAAGTCTTAGATTCCTTTTGCGATGTTAATCATCTTGTGTGAGCATGCTTTTCATGTCCAGAAATCCCCAATAACAAAGATGACAGATGTTGATGGAAGATCATTCAGTCTTTGCCACTATGAGTATTAGGCTATTATCTTGTTTCAGGATCACAAACAAGAATGCAGTTTAAGTATTTATCCCCTTCCCTATCTCTATCTGTCACTGTGCAGCTAGTTCTATACTTGAAGCTATGGACCTCCATTAGTAAGTTCCCCTAGGAGAAAATTTAGAAGTTCACTAAATAACATGTTCTGAAGTCTGAACTGATAGTGATAGCCAGATTTTGTATCAAGTATGGTTTTTTCATATGATCAGATATTTACCTTAATTAAATCCTTACATTTAGTTTGTGTACAGATAGTTGCCTCAGAAAAGACATCCATGAATACTTTATTTTCAACAACAACAAAGCCTTTGTTTTCAAGTGGACCCAAATATTAAGAATGAGTACTCTACTCTCTGAAGTTCAGTACTGTAAGTTTGTCCACGAGTAAGTAAGTAGGTTCTGTAGAAACCGTGGTCTAACATTAAGAAATATTTAGCTAAATGATTGTGTAGCTGTCCTGGGAATTTTGGACCTTGTTGTAGCTGAGAGATGCTTGTGACTTGGGTTGTCCTGTCTTGTGAACATTCTGTTGAACTTTCGCAATCAATGTATGCAGTTATAAGTGGTTGACTTTTGATTCATTTAAGTTTCCATTATGTATTGTTCTGTCATTATCTAAATATTTCAGTTCAGTTTGTTATGTCATTACATGGTGTTTGAAAATTGGAACAGGGCCCGTGTTCCTTTACTCAACAGGAGTTTTGGAGATATTGCATGTTGCTCAGCCAGAAATGGTAAAAGACATGGGCCACTGGACTCCATCAGAGCTAGGGAAGCCACAGCATATAATGAAATCACGAAAACCTCTCTTCGGATTAGGTATATTGATAGCGAATGGCGACCTTTGGGCCTATGAGAAGAAGATCCTGGCACCACAATTCTTTGCAGAAAAAATTAAGGTTCTTAAATTTTACTTAAAAAAGCCCATATAACTGTATCATCAGCCTAAGCCTAACTGTGTTGTTCCTACCCTAAGCCTAACTGTGTTGTTCCTACAATGATAGGGTATGATAGGGCTGATTGTGGATGCAACCATTCCGCTGTTACAATCATGGGAGAATATGCTTAATAGCACAGGAGGTAGTCAGGAGATCTATGTTGATGGATACCTGAGGAACTTTTCGGCGGATGTGATTGCTAGAGCTTGTTTTGGGAGCAATTTCATAGAAGGAAAAGACATATTTTGCAAGCTCAGGCAGCTCCAGAAGTTAATTTCTCAACAGGATACATTTGTCGGGCTGTCTGCACTGTGGTAAGGGACTCTTGATTTTTTTTTTTGAGAAATTACGAATGCAATGGAAATGAACACCTTGACTGGTTATTAATCTTGTTCTATTGCAGGAAATACTTGCCTACCAAGAGAAACTGGGAGATACAAAAGCTGGATCAAGAAGTCCGGTTACTAATCCTGGATCTCTCAAGGGAACACAGCAGCAAAAGCCGCAGCAATGCTGTCACGCACATGTCCACATATGACAACCTTCTGCATGCCATTGTTGATGGTGCAAACCAGTGCCCAAGCTATTCCAGTGCCCCTGAAGATTTCATCGTCGACAACTGCAAGAACATCTACTTTGCTGGGCATGAAACTACAGCGGTCACTGCCACTTGGTGCCTGATGCTACTTGCTGCACACCCGGACTGGCAGGAACGTGCACGGGCTGAGGCTCTAGAAGTGTGCTGTGGACAGACAGTGCTGGACATTGACGTCCTTCGTCAGCTGAAAATAGTAAGAGACTCTCCTCATTCCTGCAGGTCTAAATCTTTCTTTGGTGATGCACATTAAAAGTGGCATTAAAATCTTTTGAAGCTTACAATGGTGATACAAGAGACTCTCCGGCTGTACCCTCCGGCGTCACTAATCATGCGTGAAGCCCTGACAGACATCAGGCTTGGTGGAGTTGACGTCCCTCGTGGCACCATTATCCAAGTAGCCATTTCAATGCTGCACCTTGACCTTGAAGCCTGGGGTCCAGATGCTAACGAATTTCATCCAGACCGGTTCGCGAATGGAGCTGCTGCGGCGTGCAAGCCGGCCCACATGTACATGCCGTTCGGATACGGACCAAGACTCTGCACCGGGCAAAACCTGGCAATGGCAGAGCTGAAGGTTCTTCTTGCACGCTTGCTGAGTAAGTTCTCGTTCTCATTGTCACCTGGGTACCAACACTCTCCGGTGTTTCGGTTGACCATTGAGCCAGAGTTTGGCATGCCCCTTGTGGTGACAAGGCTGCCATGATCTCTGTTTCTGAATAAGTTGCTTCCTCTACGTGAATTGAACTTGTACAATGTGGGCTCGTATATAATGTTCAAGGAGGCTGACCTTTGATGCACTTGGGCTCATCAACTAGTGCTTCAGTGGAAGCGAGACCACAAGTCAACAAACCTGCAACACCCAACCACCATAACCAAACACCGAATTTGATGTCTGGTTGTGCCTGGTGCTACCACTTTATTTGAAGTTCCTGATGTTTCTTCTATATTAGTTTGTTCTTGTGACGAACTCAATCAAATATTTTCCTACACTACAATTTTCTGGGCTCAGGAGAGCAGACTATATTTGATACTTTCTATTTCTCAACTGTGCACCACTTATAGGCATGTTCAAAACTTGTGATGTAAACTTAGTTAACTGCCAGCTTCAGATTTTGAAGTTCAGCCATCCTCTGATTCGTGCCATGACAATGTGGTCTATGGTCTTAGAAGAACCAACTTGCCTCCAGCATGCCTTGTTTTAAGATGGGGTAGCATCCAGTGGTGGCACCGGAGGTAATCATATTCATATTCTTTTAAAATAGAAACATATGCTTATTTTGTTGCTGTTCTTTTTCTGCTCTAAAATGTCATGGTCTGTCACTGAAATTCGACCAAAGAAAGACATTTGACTACCCGGTATTTTCAAGCTATAATTGGCATTGTGATTTGAAAGCTAGGAAGAAGACATGTATCGTTAGGTTCTGTATGTATATATACAAGAACAGATGGAAAAAGGCACATGGAAAAGGAGATAATATTTTAAAAATAATAATTTATTTTATTTTATACTAAAAGGCAAATGTCTAAACCCAGGTTTGCAGTATGGGACCTTTGCAACGCGGGGATTTTATAGGAATTATGCTTGAATTTTATAGAAATCGATTCATTTTATAATAGAAAAAATACAGAAACCAGGAAAATATTGTACGGGCCTTAGCCCACCTGCAGATGAGCTAGGAAAAACCGCCGGCGTCACTACTCGCTAGCACTAAAGATGGCAATAGAGACCCGATACCCGACGGGCCAAAAACTGAAAAGAGGTAAATGCATCGTAGACCCTTGAACTTGTCTTCGGATGCTACTTAGGTCCACAAACTCTCTAATCGTATTTCTGTCATCCTAATGTTGTTTGAGTATGCCACTTAGGACCATAACTCATCGGAACAAGGTTTTGGCTGACGTGGCGTGAACAGAGCGCACGTGAGCCGCGCGTGAGCCTGGCTTGGGACATGCAAATAAGCAGAGCGATCCCCTGCGTGGCGCCGAGCACGATGCGGTAGCGCCGTCCCCACTCCAAATACGCGATCGGCTACTGCGCCCGCTGTGGAGCACCGCGCCCGTGTCGCTTCACGGCGATCACCTCGCGGTGTCGATGCTCATGCAATTACACCACGCGGAGCAGCCTTTTTGCCGATGATGTTGTCGTCCACCGGGCTCCTCACCACCTGGTCGACGGAGAAGCTCACCTTACAGGAACGTGTGAACTACCACGGACACGACAGCTCGCCACCGCTCTGAGTCGCCGCCACCGCCGCCATCGCCATTCTTCCTCCAAAGCCCATCCGCCGCCTTTCGAAGTATGCCGATCATGCCGAGGACCATCGCCATCGTCGCGCCCCCGACAATGAAGTTGCCGCCGAGCACAAGCTCCTTTCGGCGTCTCCACCGCCGAAGCGCGTCGGCACGCGCGCCGTTGAGCTGTTGTGCGAGACGTCGAGCTCTCGCAGGCGTGCACCGCGGCGACGACTCCGGCAATGCCCGGTGAGCGAAGTTGTTGCTTGAGGTCAAGCATCTGGAGCTACGAGGAAGTTGATGCTCTTCATGCCGGACACGGACGCCGGATGGACCCGGCAATGCGGTTCTTTGCCGAGGCGCAGCGCGCATGAGGTCGGCGGCCTTGCCGATCTCCGGCGCAGCGGGCCGGAGAGGTCGCGGGACGAGAGCAGCAGCTTGGTGAGGTTGCGGAGCGAGGAAGAGGCCCGGTGGTATGACGCCGTGAGGTGGTTGTCTGCGAGAGGTTGAGCGCTGGAGGTTGGATAGGGACGCGGCGTGGGCGGATGGCGCCCTCCGGTTGGTTCTCGCCGCACGCAAAGAGCACTGCAGCGCCGTCCGCCGGTCGAGATCGGGCGGGATGAGGCCGGAGATCTCGTTGGTGTCGACCTGCAGCTGCACCAGCGACGTGGCGTTGGCGAGCTCCGGCAGGATGGTGCCGGTGATGTTGTTGTCGCTGAGCATGAGGTCCTGCAGCGCCGTGAGCCGACCCAGCGATGGCGGGATGGTGCTGGAGATGGAGTTGATGGAGAGGTCGAGCGAGACGAGCGAGGTGAGGTTGCCGAAGGAGTCCGGGATGGGGCCCGTGAGCGCGTTCTGCCACAGCAGCAGCTTCTTGCTGCTGCGGCAGCGCGCCGAGCGACGGGGGGAGCGGGCCGGACAGCGAGTTCTCGTAGAGGTAGATGTTGGTGAGGTTGGAGCATTTCCCCAGGTCTGGCGGGATGGTGCCGGAGAGCGCCATGGTGTAGATGGACAGCGTCTGGAGGCTCTGGAGCTGGCCCAGCGACGCCACGTGCGGTCTATCCACGCCACGTCGGGCAAAACCTTGTTCTGATGAGTTATGGACCTAAGTGGCATACTTAAACAACATTAGGGTGCCAGAAGTACGATTAGAGAGTTTGTGGACCTAAGTAGCACCCGAAGACAAATTCAAAGGCCTACGATGCATTTACCTCAACTGAAAAACTTCACGGCTCCGGAACGGAAACCAACCTAACTTGAAAGTACAAGGAGCTGACAAAACGAAAACACAACTGCACCTCTGTGAAACCACCACAGCTTGATCAAACAAACAAAAAAACAGTTGGCAACTCCTACTATGATATATAAATAAAGAAACAACTGATAAACACCAGCATCTCCGGCAAACAGCCACGGCTTGTTTTTCCTGTCCCTTCCTTTCCTTGCTCTAATTTTCCTTGGGGATTGATTAGCTAGGACAGGCGGCAACCTCACTCACTGGGACCAACTCTCATCTAGTCCTCCTTGATTAGGAGTAGTCTATCCAAAGTATAATAACCCTTCTCTCTGCTGTCTAGCCTTAATCATCATTTTTTTTTCTCTCTGAAAACTGCCGTCACTACCATTTAGTAGCATTATCAGGATGCTGCGCTTGCACATATGGACGTACCAACCACCTGCTCTCGTCACAGCAAACAGACAGAGCTGAGCTTGTCGCCCTTGTTTAGTTGGCGAAATTTTTTGAGAAATAGTACTGTACCACTTTCGTTGTTATTTGATAATTAGTGTCTAATCATAGTCTAATTAAGCTTAAAAGATTCGTCTCGTGAATTTCGTCTAAACTGTGTAGTTAGTTTTATTTTTTATTTATATTTAATGCTTCGTGCATGCGTCCAAAGATTCGATGTGATGAGGAATCTTGAAAAATTTTGCAAAATTTTAGAAACTAAACACCGCCCTAGTCTTTCCTTTCTCTTGTTTTTTGCTTTTTTGGGTGCAGCACCCGGGAGCTTTATCTCCAGCTTTCCAGGTTCCCTGCTCACAGGCACAGGCACAAATGGAAGGTCTCTGCGTCTCCTCTCTGCGAGTGCTATGGCTGACCCTGCTGCCTGCGGTCTTGATCTGCGTCCTCCTCTTCTCCTACCTGTGGACCTTCCTATGGCTGAGACCGGAGAGGATCAGGCAGAGACTGAGGCGCCAGGGAGTGAAGGGCCCCAAGCCTTCTCTCCTCCTGGGGAACATACCGGAGATGAGGAGGATTCAGAAGCAGCTGGCCGAATCTGACCACCAAGAACAACAAGAAGCAGCAGCAGGGGGCAGCCATCGCTTCTCCTCCAATTACATGGCCGCTCTGTTCCCTTACTTCCTCCACTGGAACAAGGTCTACGGTATGTCCCGCCAACCCAACTTGTGCTGAATTAAATTGTTGCCTATTTGTTTCCAAATACCATTTTTGCATTTGTTTCGAGCTAAGCAGTGGTTCTGCTTTTACTTACTTTCTGTTCCTGCAAAATTGCAAATAGAGACACATCATTTTTCTGTCATAGCAGAAGCTTTAAATATCATGCAAGCAAAGCAATTGTCGCATTGTGCTAGGTTCCATCTACCTGTATTCCACCGGAAGCATCCGGTCTTTGTTTGTGACGGATCCAGACATGGGCCTTGTTTAGATTGCAATTTTTTTGCAATCTGGATACTGTAGCACGTTTTGTTTGTATTTGATAAACTTTGTCCGATCATGGACTAACTAGGCTCAAAAGATTCGTCTCGTAATTTATAACCAAACTGTGTAATTAGTTATTTTTTTACCTACAATTAATGCTCCATACATACGTCCAAAAATTGATGTGATGAAGAAAGTGAAAAAACTTAGAATTTTGAGACAATCTAAACAAGGCCATGGTGAGGGAGCTGGCCAACTGCAAGTCTTTGGATCTTGGAAAGCCTCGCTACCTGCAAAAGCAGCTTGGAGCGCTTCTTGGCACGGGAATCTTGACGGCAAACGGTGACCTTTGGGCACATCAACGGAAGGTGATCGCGTCTCACTTCTTCATGGACAAGGTTAAGGTAAAAATTCAGCCTTAGCAATGAACCTGTCAGTTGATGACAGAATGATTCATACACCTAGCTAGTGTTGTGTCTGGAACTCTCCTTCAATACAAAAATTATTTGTGGTTAGTGCTTACACACTAAATAAATTGTCTGTCATAATAACAGTTTGTAGTGGTGAATATGCGCAGGGAATGGTGGATTTGATGGCAGAGTCTGCAGATGAAATGCTGGTCTCATGGGAGGATATAGTTGACAGGGGAGGTGGCAGTGCAGAGGTGGTGGTTGATGAGTTCTTGAGGAATTTCTCGGCTGATGTCATATCAAGAGTTGCTTTCGGGAGCAGTTTGTGTGAAGGCAAGGAGATATTCAGCAAGATCCGACAGCTTCAGGTGGCAATGGCAAAGCAAGATATATTTGCTGCTCTTCCTGGTAGTAGGTATGCTGAGAAAAAAAAAACTTCATTTGCACATTTTTTGTTTGTTTGTTGAACTAGTATCACCGCCACACGCTATTACTTGTGATATATACGATTTAGAAATCAGAATGCAATCGAGGGACAGAAATTGAGAGGGTAATTGAAGCAAAGGCTTCTTTTCTTCCTGAACTAATTCTGCACTGTGTTCCTTCAAATTAAAAGAAAAACTCTGCCTGCAGTGCATGAACTCCTCGATTAGCAATATGAGCTTATCGACATACCTGATGAGGAACATTTTCATGTATCCTGCTTCGATTCTTGCAAAAATTTTCCTCCTGGCCTGAATAAGATGTCGATTCATCAGATACTTACCAACAAATCGCAACCGAGAGATTCGGAGGCTCGGCGCAAGCATCCGGGACCTCATCCTGGACATAGCGAGGAGGCACGAAGAAGAACACGACCCGCCGGCGACATCATCTGCGAGCAACGGCGACGGCCTCCTGCGTTCCATCGTCGAGGGCGCCAAGGCCGCCGCCGGCGCTTTCAGTCCCTGCACGGCTGAGGACTTCATCGTGGACAACTGCAAGAACATCTACTTCGCGGGGCACGAAACGACGTCGACCACCGCCGCCTGGTGCCTGATGCTCCTCGCCGCGCACCCGGAGTGGCAGTCCCGCGCGCGCGCCGAGGTCCTGGAGGTTCGCCGCCATCAGGGACAAAAGCCGGTGGACGCGGACACGCTCCGGAAGCTGTAGACGGTGACGATGGTGGTGCAGGAGACGCTCCGGCTGTACCCGCCGGCGCCGTTCGTGACGCGGGAGGCGCTGCGCGACCTGACACTCGGCGGGCTGCACGTCCTGAGCGGGACCGGCGTCCGGGTCCCGATAGCGCTGGCGCACCGCGACCCCGCCGCGTGGGGACCGGACCCCGACGGGTTCGACCCGGGGCGGTTCGCCAATGGCGTGGCGGGCGCGTGCAGGCCGGCGCACATGTACATGCCGTTCGGCGTCGGCGCGCGCACCTGCGCCGGGCAGAACCTCGCCGTGGTGGAGATCAAGGTCGTGCTGGCGACCCTGCTGCCCAGGTTCGAGCTCGCGCTGTCGCCCGGGTACGTCCACCGCCCCGCGTTCAGGCTCACCGTCGAGCCCGGGAGCGGCGTGGCCCTGGTGCTTAGGAAGCTCTGCTCTGCTGATTGATTGCAAGCATGGTGTCGCCGTTGTTGAGAAGGCTGGGAACGAACGTCAGCACGTTCGGGAGGCCGTATCGTATCGTGGATTATTTACTGCTGGCTGGTTTGGTGTGAGAGAAAAACACTGTTCCCGGCTAAAAATTTACGATCATTTACGAGCAAGCGAACAGGCTGCGTGTCGTGAGCTACAGTTGCTTGTTGCAGTACTGGTTCACATGCACGATGGAAACTTTGAAAAGTAGCTAGCGACTCTGTAGTTGCTTGATAACGATGAATTAATTAGGCTTAAATTAATTAGGTTTAATAAATTCGTCTCGTAGATTACTGATAGATTCTGTAATTTATTTTTTTATTAGTATCCGATCAGCCTGTGTAATACCTCTATGTACCTCAAAACTTTAAAACCTAAATGTAAACACCACTAAATAGCACTCTTCGGCCGAATAAAACATGAAGATGTCAGGATGGCCGAGTGGTCTAAGGCGTCAGACTCAAGTTCTGATCCTCTAACGAGGGTGTGGGTTGAAGACCCACTTCTGACACGTTCACTATCTAGTATATTCTTGTTTTTTGTTTTTTATGGTAAATCAAACAAGAGCTCCTTTTTTATGGTAAATTAGAGCTCCTTTTGCCTTCCTATGTTTCCCGATACCTGCACGCACACTGCCAACGGCACGTCGCCCCCACTGAGAGGTTTGCACGTGCGCGCGTGACCCTTCCCCGTAGACTCTGGTGACCAGACCACTCGCCGTTACGAGTCAGCCGTGGCAACCGACTACTTGGCCACGATTAGAGATGAAAACGGATCGGATATGAACGGATATCACTCATATTATATTTGTTTTTATATTTTTGTTCGGATTCAGATTCGGACACGAATAACGTTCGGATACATATACGAATACGGATTGACTCAGTTACGGATACGAATAATGAGTATCGAATACTGTATGAATCGGATTCGGAGAAGGTCGGATACAAATATCTATTCGGATATTGAGTAAAAGCAGCATATATATATATATATATATATATATATATATATATATATATATATATATATATATATATATATCATACGTGCGTAAACCATTACACCACTCTATGAGTCCATAATCCATCTAGATTAAGCCGAAAAACTAAAGAGTAAAGCAACAAATAAGATAAAGATACAGATACATCATACATCAAACATCATACAAGCACCAATCTTCGCGGCATGAGTAGAAATAGCCAAGATCATGGCTTCATGGGTCTCATGGAGTCATGGTCATGGACTCAAGATCTACAATCCTTATATAGGCCATTTTTTCATTTGAGAAAGTTTGAACAAAATATAGTTCAAACTTGGTATTCAGAGTTTTTTCATCTGAGGTCATTTAGTGTCTCATTTGAGCAAGTCAAATTTGGTCAAATGAAAAAACAACACTTTGACTCTAGTATTATGAACTCTAAATGACTTCAAATTGAAAAGTTTTGAATACCAAGTTTGTTCAACTCATCAAGATCTACAATTGTTGTTTTGGTTAACTTTCCATTTGAGATAGTTTGGATGGTTCAAATTTATGATTTTTAAATTTCGACGTTTACAAACTAGTTTTCGGAACCCTAGATTGTCTCAAATTAAAAAGTTTTGAATACTAAGTTTGTTCATCTCATCAAGATATACAATCCTTATATAGGCCATTTTTTTATTTGAGAAAGTTTGAACAAAATATAGTTCAAATTTCACAAGTGTGTGACATAGTTTCAGAAAGTCTATATGAGATTCAAGAATTTGTGACTAGTGTTTGATAAAACTTTCTCAAATGGGAAAATGAGCTATGTAACAATTGTAGATCTTGCTGAGATGATCAAACTTCGTATTCAGAGTTTTTTCATCTGAGGTCATTTAGTGTCTCATTTGAGCAAGTTTGACCAAGTCAAATTTGGTCAAATGAAAAAACAACACTTTGACTCTAGTATTATGAACTCTAAATGACTTCAAATTGAAAAATTTTGAATACCAAGTTTGTTCAACTCATCAAGATCTACAATTGTTGTTTTGGTCAACTTTCCATTTAAGATAGTTTGGATGGTTCAAATTTATGATTTTTAAATTTTGACGTCTATAAACTAGTTTTCCATTTGAGAAAGTTTGGACGGTTTAAATTTTGAAGGACTAAATGATTTCAAACGAAAAAGTTGTAAACAACAAAATTTCATAACTTTTTGAGATCTACAATTTTTATTTTGATCATTTCTCCATCCAAGGTCGTTTGAATAATATCCGGATAATATCCGTTTTTAAATATCCGGATATATCCGATACTTATCCGGATTATCCGATATCCGCCGGATATCGATGATATTACATCCGTATTTGATATCCGCCTAAGATATCCGTTTTAGTATCCGTATTCGAAAAAAATTACGGATATCCGAGTAACTATCCAGATAAGTGTTCATATTTGTTCGGTCGAACGGACGGTCGAATAAATATCCGTACCGTTTTCATCCATAGCCACGATGACCGACTACTCGGCCACAAAGGTCGAGATGACGTCCGAGGGCTTATCATTCCACGGCATGTCGACTCTTGCGCTAACCAGTTTTAATACTTTTCTAAATATTCTTTAATTTCCAAACGTCTCCAGATATTACACATGCGTCTCCGCGTCCATACAACAGTTGCATTTCGATTACTCATATAGCTCCGCGCTTGTAGTATAACATGTGCTCCTCGTGCATTCTCTTTTTCGTGCAGCGCCATCTGCTCTAATCTTCTCTTAACGGTTGTAAGAATACTTAAGTAATTTGAACTCACGTTTGTGACGCACTATTTACTCGCACGGCTCACATGGTCACGGTCATGAACCTCACCACCATACGTCGGAGATACAAGTGCTCACAAATACGGGTCAATTACTCGGGAAATTTACACAACCTAGCAAGAGCAAGACATGAAAAACTTTTGCATGCATTTCATAATAATAGGATCCGCTCCCGACCTATTCTTTTACATGCATGGGACTTGTTCCCAACTTGATATCCAGAATATCAATAACTACAACATTTTATATATTTATCTTGCAGGGGACCAGATCTGGATCATGCTGCTGGGTGAGGCACACGCCTCCGAGGGTTGCCTTACTCGGACCACTACGTAGCGGGGTGAGGCTTGTGCCTTCGCAGGCTGCCTTACTCGGACCATTACTTCGTTAGGTGAGGCACGCTCTCTGTGCTGCCTTACTCGGCTACTCTTCCACAGGACGACGCACGCTCCTACAACTTAGTCGGCACTAGGCTCGGGGGCTTGGCCATTGCCTCGACTTAGTCGGCTTCACTCCGACTACGTTTGGAGCTCGGATTCAATGATGGAAGACTAAATTTTCAAGCATTCAACTACTCCGCGACAAGCGGCATTGATTATTGTCTTCGAGGGGTTACTCGGCTGCACCTTTGAGGATGTCTACAAAATCCTATAATCGACTCCGAGTAGTCGGATTGTAGGCTTGGAGACTGCATGATACATATCCTCAGAGGATGCATTCAAATTTCTTCGGAAAAAGGATTGCATACAAGATCCTCCAACTCTTTGTTTCAAATAGCAAGACACTCGGGGGCTACACTCAGTGAGTGCGCTTTTACAAAAAGCGCACACCACTCGAATATTTCAAGAAGCACTACATGGTTTCACTCAAGAAAGCACCCGGACAATGCTTGTTTCTACTCGGCAACACCTGGAGGAACAAGAAGGCTTCCAAGTTCAACCATGCATACAATGCTCGGGGGCTCGTGGGACATACTCCCTGGGTACCCCACAAGGAAGGGAGAAAATCTAGTCCGACTAAGATTCCCCACATGTAATCCTAGGAACATTGCTACCCTATAATTCTACTATGACTCTTATATTATTGTAAGGGACCGTGACGCCTAAGAGGGGGGTGAATTAAACAACTTAAAAATCTACTCTAAACTATGGCCTCTAATCCCATTTTAGCAAAACCTATGCAAGAAAGTAATCTATCTAAATGTACAACTACGGTTTTGCTAATATGTTGCTATCTTTACCGCATAAGAGTCTTCCAACCTAGGTTCCAACCCTATCAACTAGCCTATCAACTAAGTTAGGAAAGTAAATGAAAGTGCATTTGCCCCTTATGTGGATTTTGGTGTATTGATGATATCCACATTAGGGACTAATGAGATCTTAATAAGATATATTGCAGCTTTAGTTCCTTGAAAGCTTTAAAAGAGGTGATCTAAGATGAAATGGTGTCCCTCAGTTCTTCAAGTACAAAAAGTGGACGAACCCAAAGCGCTCTCGCAAGCCCTTTTATTTTGTTTTGGGTTTATGTATGCCGTACTATAAAGAGGGATACAAGTTTAGGTGGCATGTGGAAGATAGAGTACTCAAGCATAAAAAATAAAATCAAAAGAGAGACACAAAATCACCTCACGAACACTTGGACATAGTTTGTGGACTTTTGGTAGTCGGAAGTCCCGGCGTGAGGCGGAAGTTCCAGCTGTCGGAAGTTCCAACGTTTGGTGCCGGAAGTCCCGACGCTTGCTGACTTAGCCGCAGCCTGCCTACGCATCATTGCCGGTCGGTAGTCCCAACGGGAGTCGGGAGTTCCAGGTGCCGAAAGTTCCGGCTCCCTCCGGAAGTCCCGACACTTCACGACTTAGCCGCCTGCGTAGCTTCCCTCGTCGGAAGTTTCGACAGGAGTCGGGAGTTCCGGGTGCCGAAAGTCCTGGCTCCAGCCGATAGTCTCAACGCCTTGGGACTTAGTCGCCTAGCTCGTCATGTCTGTCGAGAGTCCCGACGAAAGTCAGAAGTCTTTGTTGCCAGAAGTTCCAGCGACCACCAGGAGTTCCGACGATATGCGAGCAAGCCCGGTGGACTATCTATATGAACAGTGTTTTTGCGTTGGGCCAGAAGTTTCGGCGATCTGTGTCAGAACTTTTGAAGCAGATCTGAACGGTTGGATTTGCCCTTGAGTATAAATAGCTCTCTCCTCTCCT